CCCCAAAACCCCAAAACCCCAAAACCCCATGATTTTTAGCTTTAAGTGGATATTTGAGAGATATTTTATTTCAGAAGAACATTATAAATGTCAAAAAAGAGGGGATATAAATTCTCATACATTGCTGTAAACTTCAACTCCTCTATTCTCCAGGAAATACTGAATTCAAGAAGTAAGGTTTTTACAATTGCTTATACTTTGACAGATTGGGAGTTGAAAAGCGAAGAAATACTAGCATTAGGGAATAATTACTAGGAACCAGATCCCTATCATAAAACACTGCCATATTTGAAGGTAGATTTGCTATGGCTCAATAAAATGTAACTCAACTATCTTATTTAATCCTCTTCCTTTTTCATGCCATTGACTTTAATCTTAAAATATAATGAATAGAAACAATTACCTAAATGATAAGAGTTTAATGGACAAGTTCATTATAGTAAACAGGTTTAAGAATCTGGCCGAAGTAACGGATATGAATTTTCTTCGTTCAGTTGCCTTCCGCATCCAGGATATGTTTACACAAATGAATAACTTCCTCTTAGAGTCTTACAAACTCCCAGGAAGTTATTAAGACTTCTAAAGAAGATTGCTAAAAGAGAAAATCAGCAGTAATGAATAGCAAAGTCAGAAAAAAGCTTTAGAACAGTCTAAACGAAACCTAAATATCAGCAACTTAGAGTCTATAATTGAGGGGGCCAATGGTGCTTAGTTCAATTGGATCCTAATTAAAGAAAAAGCTAATAATGAGGAAGAGACGAAGGGGATCAATATCAATACTGATTTAATTAATGATATAACCAAGATATATGAGTATTTGCCATGCACAGTCAAAAGGCAACTCAAGACTCCCTTGCTTTATAACAAATGCAAGGTAAGTAAAAAAGCAAAATTATAGAAATTTCAATTAAATTTGTAAATCTGAATATCTTTTGTAGTGTATTATTTCAGTTATGGTGTTAATTGAAGATATTTTACCTTTGAAGATTCAAATATTTAATTAGCCTCAGGTGAGATTCTAACACGGTAACCAGCAAATGGGTTTCAAGACTAAATTCAGAATGGAGTACAGAAGATTCCAAGACATTCTGGCTCAAAAGGGCTGGAAGAAAAAGAAATTCATGGTAAATGGGATGGTTAAAGATTAAGTTTATGATGATATTTGGAACAAGATGTGTCAAAGGATAATAACATTAGTTATAATTATGAAACCTGAAATCTAGCAGTAAGAATATTCACTTTTATTAAATTTATCTAGTGTTTAAGATCGAACAATTTAATTGATGGAGTTTAAGTTTGAAATAGATGATTAATTAAACCCTTGGCTGTGTAAAATCAAAACAGACTTAAATTTCAAGTTGAAAGGAAACATGTTTGATGATTACAAGGCAAATATCTTGAATGAAGTCATGAATATTGCTGAGTTTAAGATAAGCCAATATCGCTCTAAACTAAAAAAGCACCCACTAATGTTTAATCACAATGAAATTAATCAAAAGCAAGCTCGAGTCACTCTGAAGCAGTTGGAGAATTCTCAAATTTATAAGAAAAAGTCGATAAAAGTTAAGGATGTGATCTAGATAGCCAAACTTGAAGAATCGCCCTAAGCTTTTTACATTTACAAAAACAGAAACGACATTTTAATCAATAAGCTTAGGCGAAGAGAGGATGACACCTTTTTGTTCAAAGATCACTCTGCTGATAGAGCTGGTAGTCAAATGACTGATGCTTAGAAGTATAAAATCAAACAGCACTTAGCTAAGACTAAAAACAGACTGCAATTTCATGTGAACTAGCAGTTCCTTGACTAGTTAATCGAGGACATCTAGAGGATACTCAATAATAATACATCAGAAAATATGCTTGAAGATATGTTTTTGATTAAGAAAATAGATCATGAGCTGGTATCAGTTGGATTCAGAATAATGTATCTCAATTATCATAGGGAAGATATTCAGGTCTTTATTAATAGTTACACAACTCTCAAAGCTATTGCTTAAAAGGATCATCAATGGATGGAAAATAAGTTGCTTGAAATCCTATCTGGGGAAACGAATCCTAAAGCATTCATGCATCTAGTGAAAGATAAGCTAAAAGAAATTGAGAAGTAAACAGAGTAGCTTAGAATTCAGATAGGAAACGGCAAGAATAAATTCTTTGTAAATAGTTAGAAAGTAAAAAATATCCTGCAAGGCAAAATATAAGACTACTTACAGGATAAGATTACTATTGAGAGTAATTCCTTAAATAGGAGTGCAATAAAATACATTGAACAAACTCCATAGAGCTCTAGAACCATTTTGAATGCTAGCATTCAAGAGTCCTCATTTATTTCATACACAGAGAAAAAAACAAATAAAAACTTACCATTTAGTGATATCAAACTGAACAAAGTTATCAGTGAATTCTTTGGAAATTCAGATTAGAAGTAAACCAAAAAAGATATAGAAGTTACTAAGGATCATTTTGGGTTTGGCTCAGAGGATGATAAGAATATCTAAATGTATCGGGAGAGTAGCAGTGAAGATTCTATAAGTAGTATTACTGATAGTTTGGGACCAGCTGGATTTGGCAGGAAAAATGGTCTAAGACTCAGAAGAATTTCCAATTTAGAGCGAAGGAAAGAGAGGCTTTAAATAGCTAAGGAGAAATTTGAAAGAGTAATAAAGCAGGATGGTAGAAGACTTTCAAATTTGGAAAGTTTTCTCAATATCCCCGCATCATCAAGGACCTTCTATGACAAGTAAGTAGTAATCAAGCTAGATAAGGTAGAAGACTAGATCAATAAAGTTAATTAAGGGAAAGATTCAATCGTTAAAAATGGAGAGAGTGAAATTGTGAACGAAAAGTATAAGAAAATGATTGAAAATATTAAATCTATGGACAAATCATCATTGCAAAATAGAAGGTTTACTAAATCATAGCTTGACTTGGACAAATATTAGGTAGCATTAATTAGAAAAAATCAAGATGAAGAAAATGAGAGAAAAGAGCTAGTTAAATTTAGGAAAAGTATTCTAACTTCAAGACTCTCTCAATTCCAACTCAAAGCTATTGAAAAAAAGTTGATTTAGTAAAAATAAGAGCAAAGGGGTGATTAAATGATGACTTAAAAATGCAATCAGAGAGAACCCAATACAGATCTCACAGAATCAAATTTGGATAAATTTGCTAAATCTAGAAATACTTCAATCTTACTAAGTAGATCTGAGATCAAACACAATCTGAAAACCCCCAGACCAATAATTGTCTATCATGATGATTAATCAAGTCAATCAAAACTTCCCAAATTAAATATTAAGCTCAACCTTAATAATAATACTACTATTATGTCTTAATAACTACTCTAACTACCAAACATTGATTCAAGAACGCCTCAGCCTCGCTAAAAAGAGGTTAGCTTTACTGAAAGAGTTTTGTAAACTTAAAGGATCTCACAGAATAGGTCTATAATAGACTTAAAAAATGACTTTGATGGTAATGAGAGTAATGAGGATGAAATTAATAAATTGAAATTTAGATTTAAGCTTTTGTTCCCTTTTAATGAGACATGCAAAAGAGATTTTTAGGATGAGCTAGCAACTCTTAAAGAAAATGATAATTTCACATTAGCCATGATTATAAAGAAGGCATATGGCATGTTCAAATGTCATAACTTTAAAAGATGATTCTATTTGCTGGATTTATATATATTTGCAAATATTTTATTATTCAAAAACAACGAAAATTTCAATAATTTAAATTGAAGGGGTTTTGGGGTTTTGGGGAGATCGGAAGAGC